GTCACATGTTCCAGTATACCCAAGGGTTCATGGTATTTCCTTTTGGATATTGATTGATCCTCTGGTTTCATCCTGAGTCAGACCTGGGAGAAGTATGTTGATTGGATAAGCATGCCCTTACCTGTTCTGGGTCATTGACTAGTACTGTTGTTAGCCCAAGAGTTTATTTTCAGGTACTTATATAGCGCCGTCAATTTACGCAGCGCTTTACATATATACATTGTACATTCACATCAGTCCCTAACCCTCAAGGGGTGCACAATCTAAGGTCCCAAGGGGTGCACAATAACCCTCAAGGGGGGGGGGGTACAATCTAAGGTCCCTAACCCTCAAGGGGCGTCCCCTCAAGGGGCGTACAATACAATCTAAGGTCCCTAACCCCAAGGGGCGTACAATCTAAGGTCCCTAACCCTCGAGGGGCGTACAATCTAAGGTCCCTAACCCTCGAGGGGCGTACAATCTAAGGTCCCTAACCCTCAAGGGGCGTACAATCTAAGGTCCCTAACCCTCAAGGGGCGTACAATCTAAGGTCCCTAACCCTCAAGGGGCGTACAATCTAAGGTCCCTAACTCACATCCATACATACACATACTAGGGCCAATTTTAGATAGGAGCCAATTAACCTACCAGCATGTCTTTGGAGTGTGGGAGGAAACCGGAGTACCCGAAGGAAACCCACGCAGTCACAGGGAGAACATGCAGTCTCCTAAGTCTGACTTTTCAGCTCCTGTGTTTCAAAATCATATCCTGCTTTTTGAATTTGATGGAGCACCCCTTTACTACCCCCCCTCGCCGTCTTCAGTCACAGACTGCCTAGGATAATTCTCATGTGGCGTCACGCATTATGAGAGGTGACCCTGCGTGGGAGGACATGAATAAATGAGCATAATATTAACAGATTACACTGCTCCTTTTATTTGGTTATGCAAATTCTCTGCACCAATTAACATCTTAATGCTTGTTACCAAGCAGACTCGGAGGAAGGGCCCCGGCGCTATCTCGCCGTCTTCTGACACCCACGCCAGGGCACGGGACAGCTGTCACGAGTACAATGAAGATGGCCAATTGCCCAGAGAGCCTTAACGCACTGTTGGCTGCAAGACCTGTTGACATATCGGCACTACATAGGAGTTATGAAGCTTTAGAATCTGAACAGTTCTCCGTCTGTATGGCAGCCCACGGGCATATCTCACTGTGACTGATAATACAGAGTGATTGACCTTTTGGTTGATGCGTTTTCGGAGCCACGGCACGTTTACTCCCTAAATGCATGGTGCACTTAACAGCAAGACGTTAATTCCTTATCACGGGTGTTCTAAATTTGCAGCAGTTATTTTTCAGCATGCTGAAAAACAGTTGCATGCTATTAGCACTCACAAGTCCTTATTAATTGGATGTTAAACCCCATACACTGTTAGCACTTGGAAATCATTAATAGTTTTATTGCTTGCAAATATTTATGGGGTCTTAAGTCAGCCCTAGATGCAGCGTTTTTTTTTTTTTTTTTTGTTTTTTTTTTCCTGCAACCACAGGTTGATTCCTCCATAATGGCCGCCAGTAATAATCACATGTAAAATCCGACAGGCTGGTTGTACCTAAATTGATCTATCAACATTGGTACATTCATCCTGTCCATACATGGTTTGAATCTCGGCTGAACCGGCTGAGATTCACACCATCTATGGCCAGCTTTAGAACTTGTCATCTCACTGGATTTGCTGGGGGAGGTGGCAGAGTACAAAGCGCAGGGCACATTTCATGGCTTTCCAGAGCGTTTGGCATAAAAGGGAATGGGGTCACTGCCTGGTTGGCCCATCTCTACCACCAAAACGCCATTGCATTTGTGAAAAGGAACCTTAGGTCATCGCTGGCCAAGGTTTCCAGAAGGTGCTTATCCAGGTGCTTCAGGAAGCTATACATTTTTGGTACGCGTCTTTAATGTGTGCAGCAAGTTCCTCTATTCTCATTGAATTATTACATTCTGTGCTCTGCAAGTGGAGAGGGCGTGGGAGATCGCCAGTGTCTTGGGACGAGGGTTCGAGCTGCAAGTGGGAAAAATCCTACATGGTCTCAGGGCTTCAGCTAGAGACCCTAGAATGATGGATAAAAAGGCAATCTCTGGAGATAAGTATAGGGAGGAGTTCATAATCTGAAAGCCTTCAGGATCACTACATGTGCTGTATTGTGCCAGCTGCCTCACCGCACCCCCAGCATTGGCTGGAAATATCCATGTGAGCCACTGGTGTAAAACTGGGTGGCCTCCCACACTACACAGGTTATAGTGTACTATAGAGTGAAGTCTTTGATTGGCCTCTGTAATGACAGAAGATTGGAATCTTGGGTGGTGTTGATGATTGAACACCGGTGCTGTTCAGGTTTGCTGCTCATCAATTTTCCTTCAGCAGCAGTTTGTTCCTAGCTATCAATATGAAAAAAACAAGCAACTCACATCTTTTGAAGTCCTACCGATTCCTAATTAATCAGGTGGGGATTTCTACGGTCTGTTAAAGGCTGTATAGGACCACATTGGGAAATCCATTGGGGATTCTGTAATTCTAAAAAGAACCCCCCTTGATCTACAAATGTTTTTTGTATTGGACTCCCGGAGGTTCCCAACTCCGCCTCCCAGCGTGTACTTTTCTAAGGAGGTCTTGTTTGTTTGCTGCTGGACAAGTAACTATTTTACAGGGAGAATGTGTGTGTGTGGGGGGGGGGGGGGGGGCTGTAGATAGGAAGCTAGGCCAGAATGGAAGGTTTAGGTGACTACGGCCTTTTAACGCCCAATGTTTCCAAAGTGTGTTTATGTACTATTCACGTTATATTTTTGTGGCTAGACATTGGTTTGGAGTTCTCTGTACTAAAATTAAATTTAATATATATATATATATATATTGTATTTGGTGCTATATAAACTCGTAGTTAATTATATATATATATTTATATATTGTTCTGCACATTGTTGTTTCCTGCGCTGAAGAGGTTACGCCCCTCACAGGGCACAGAATGGTCAAAGGGTTCTTGCTGGTCATGTGTGGGGGGCTGGGCACACCAGCAGTTGGGATGGTGGGCTGCTGCCTGAATGACTCTCTTCTTTAGGGGTCATTGTCCTGTGCTGACAGCTGTAAATTTTCAGCCAGCCGTCAATCCGTCCTTTTTTTTTTTTTTTTTTTTTTTTTTTTTTTTTGTGCTGAGAGAAAAGGGATGGATTCAACCTCAACCTTGTGCAGTCCCAGTAGCATGGATAACACACCATGCCCCCCCCCCCCCCCCCCCGCACACTTAGCTTCTCATTGCATGGAGTTCTACAGTCACAACAAATTTGATTAGTTTGAACTTTACTTTTGTGACCAGCGCACACACCGGGAAGTCTATACAGTTCATTCTAAACCATACATTACCATACATTCTAGGCCATACATTATACAATTTGAGAAATTTGCTTTAGATTTACCAAAAACCATATAATCTGAGGTCAAACCTAAACACTTTCAATTGTATCCAATTAGGCGGGCCCTTGTGCTACATAGTTGAAGGTAAATCTAAAGGAAATTGGACAGAAAATTGTATAATGTATGGCCAGCCTAAGAGTAGAGTAGTAGGCCATGCCCCTGTAAGGGCTCGATCACACTTGACTGTTTTACCAACGCTTGCCAATCGCCCCTATAGCGTAGACTAGAATGGGAGGCTTCAATTCCTCCTGACTGGACCAGAGGCATCCGTTTTGCCGCGACGCTAACGCTCCCGTTAGAACAGCACCATGTGCTGCAATGTGCAGAATTGTCAGAGGCGTTTGGGAAGTGGTAAAAACGCTTCCCAAACGCCTCTCTGCCGCCTGCACACAATGCTAGTGTGAACGTAGCCTAAAGGAGACCCCATAATACGAAGCTTGTGACTAACTTTAACTATAAAAGCCTTTTCTTTGTCATCTTCTTCTGATTCAGTTTCACTTTCCTGGGGCCCTGATGTACCTTGATTTTGATGTGAAGCCCTGCCAATGGTCATACCACTGTCCAATAGGATCTAAATGATGAGAACATTTTAAATAGACAATGTCCGTTTGGGCTTAGCCGTTAGGTCAGACCATGGTAACAAATTGAAACTAAATAAGAGGGGTGCAGGATTTTCTGATAGTTGTAATAGTGTTGAAATGCTGCTATTAAGGCCCATTCACACTCGTACTCACTCACTAGTATTGCAGTGAGGTGACCACTTGTGGCGCATCGCTGAGCTGCAGCGCATGTCCATTGGAAGGGTAAAAGATGAGCACCACTTGAAAACGCTGGTAACGTGTTTTACCACAGCGTGTGAATGTGCCCCAAGGTTCACAAGTAGATGCATCGAAAAGTATCAACACCTGCCAGAAAAAAAAAATTTAATATTTCACATATTGCTTTTATTTTTTGCTTGTATGACAGCTGGCGGTACAGATCGTTTCCATGGTCCCGGGAGCCCAGCCTCGGGGTCCATTTACACCTCCGCGCACAAACACCTTTCACAATGAGCTTTACTTGCAGTTAAACCTGCACTTTTTTTCAAGACTATGCAGCATAGAATTGCGAAAATTTTAATTAGTCATTCACCAAGAAAATTAGAAATGAGGATAAGATCATTTATTCAAGGAACGGTTAGAGCAGAGGTCTCCAAACTTTCCAAGCACAGGGCCACTTTACTGTCCTTCAGACTTTGGGGGGGGGGGGGGGAGAAGGGGCAGATTGTGACCAGTGGGAGTAGAAAATGCCCTGGCCACTATTCCTCTCACTGACACCAATGATGGGGCACTATTCCTTATCCGGATATGAACAATGGGGCACTATTCCTCCCACTGATACGAACGATGGGGCACTATTCCTCCCACTATTCCCACCGACGATGATGGGTACTGTTCCTCCCACTGATGCCAATGATGGGGCACTATTCCTCCCACTGATGCCAATGATGGGGCACTATTCCTCCCACTGATACCAATGATGGGGCACACTATTGACACCGATGATGGGGCACTGTTCCTCCCACTGATGCCAATGATGGGGCACTATTCCTCCCACTGATGGGGGCCAATGACACCGGGGCACTATTCCTCCCACTGATGCCAATGATGGGGCACTATTCCTCCCACTGATGCCAATGATGGGGGCACTATTCCTCCCAGTGACGTTCCAATGATGGGGCACTGTTCCTCCCACTGACACCTGACTGATGGGGGGCGCTGTTCCTGACCCACTGACCCCCACTGACACGATGGGGCACTGTTCCTCCCACTGACACCGACGATGGGGCACTGTTCCTCCCACTGACACCGCGATGGGGCGACGACACGGGGGGCGCTGTTCCTCCCACTGACGATGGGGCGCTGTTTCCTCCCACTGACACGGACGATGGGGCACTGTTCCTCCCACTGATACCACGATGGGGCGCTGTTCCTCCCACTGACGCCGACGATGGGGCACTGTTCCTCCCACTGACGCCGACGATGGGGCACTGTTCCTCCCACTGACGCCGACGATGGGGCACTGTTCCTCCCACTGACGCCGACGATGGGGCACTGTTCCTCCCACTGACGCGACGATGGGGCACTGTTCCTCCCACTGACGCCAAGACGATGGGGCACTGTTCCTCCCACTGACGCCGCACTGTTCCTCCCACTGACGCCAAGGATGGGGCACTGTTCCTCCCACTGACGCCAAGGATGGGGCACTGTTCCTCCCACTGACGCCAAGGATGGGGCACTATTCTCCCACTGACGCCAAGGATGGGGCACTATTCCTCCCACTGACGCCAAGGATGGGGCACTATTCCTCCCACTGACGCCAATGGATGGGGCACTATTCCTCCCACTGACGCCAATGATGGGGCACTGTTCCTCCCACTGACGCCAAGGATGGGGCACTGTTCCTCCCACTGACGCCAAGGATGGGACACTATTCCTCCCACTGACTGTTCAACGATGGGGCACTATTCCTCCCCCACTGACACCAACGATGGGGCATTGTTTTAGCCCCATCGATGACTGGGCATTTTCTACTTTAACTGGCCACAGTCTGGCCCTTTGTTTAGAATGCTTGGAGACCCCTGGTTTACAGGTTTGACCCATGTTTTTGCATCCCATATCTTTGCGCCAGTGCTATACTGATTTTATCTTTATACATTTGCTGAGTTAAAGCTAAAATATTTATATTTGAAATATTAAAAGCAGTACTATGTGCATATAAAAATAAAATGCATTAAAAAAAATGGAGTTAAAAATTAACTCAAAATGCCAACGCTCTAGAACAGGAATGGGCAAACTACGGCCCGCGGGCCGTATACGGCCCGGCGGACCTTTTAATCCGACCCTCGGAGCGTGCTACAAAAAAAAAAAAACAGCCAGGGCAGGCAAACATTCGCATCATTCAGCGCGCTCAAATGCAATGATTGGCCAGTCTCGCTTCCACTCACATCCTGATAGCCAGTGAGGCGGGGCAGCGTGACGAACGTGAGGGGAGCTAGGCTCCTCTCACAGTCCGCCCTGAAGACCGGAACGGCGCGAGGAACGCGCGGAGCAAAGGTAAGTAAATTGACACAAGGGGGACTTGGCTTACTACTTGGGGGGGGAATAGTACTATGGGGGATGAAATGTTACAAAATTTAATTTATATTAATTCACACATACACATCATTCATCTACTCTTGGTCCGGCCCCCGGGTCCAATATATGAACCCATTGCAGCCCTCAAGTCAAAAAGTTTGCCCACCCCTGGTCTAGAATAATGTATTTAGCTATGGAACTAATCAGGTGTTAAGCAATAGGAGTGGAGGGGATAGCTGACATGCCAGTACTTCCGTCCCCACTGGTCAAGGAGATGGGGACAGTCTGTCTGTCCCCCCTCGCTCCCTCCCACGCCCTCCCCCCCCCCTCCCTTGGAAATGTTTGGCTTCGTATGCCAGAAACAGATGAAATATTTGCATTTTGTCTGGAATTTAAAATATAGACTGTCTGATAGCAGGAGCTCAGAATGTTCTCTGAAACAAAACAGCTCCGGGGAGGGAAAAACAATACCTGGAATGTGTTTTCCATCCAAATTTCAGATGCCCTTAAAATCTTCTATCTGTCTGGAACATTGTGAGGCCTAGATTTGGGTCATTGCCAGGGGGTCGGTCTGGCGGAGATTGGTGACCGGGTCATAGTAACCTAGAAAACCTCAGATAGCCCTATCACCAATAAAATAACTTGTATATTTAAAACAAGAAATCACATTATGAAATGAGTCACTTAAAAGATATTAAAAAGTTTACGTTTCTTCATGATGGAGAAGTTAAAGTTGTCCATACACCAGTATGTTTCGAACGGGAATTCAGAAAAATCGTATGTCAAAGCTTTTGATATTACCATTAAGGGTTCAAAAAATTTGGTATAAATACCATGAAATCTTTTGTTCAATTGCCATGTGAGTATCTTGACGTTTGCTTTCGATTTCGGAATTCTCATGCAGATTACAATAAGTACAATTCTCCCCCCCAAGCAAAAACGAATTTTATGGTTTGAATTTTAAGAATTTTTTCTATCTTTCTCCTATCTTCCTCCTTCGGTTTTCCTTGTCACTGCCATCAAAGACTATTGTTTGATCCCACTAATACTAATAAAATTGAACAGATGTTCTGAAAATACATGTTTTCAAACTAAGCTCTACCCACCTGATATCAGCCTAAGCAGGCCATAGATTAGTCATTTTTGGTTGGATGAAAAAAAAAAATGACTTTCCCCATTCACACATGAAGGTGGATGAGGGAAATCCTCCCTGCTGTTCCTTTGTATTCTTCCAGGGGGGAGACTTCTGTACAATCACCCTGCCCATACATGGATTGAGCTATTGCTGGGTTGGGTTGCATAGGTTTGTCAAATAGATGCATATCTCCCCAACTGTCCCTGATTTCGAGGGACTGTCCATCATTCAGAACAAAGTCCCTCTGACCCTCTTTCCTCCTCATTTGTCCCTTATTTTGGTCTGCTCTATACAGTTGTATATAAAATACACTACTTATCTATCAAAAAGTGTCTCCCAGTGCTAAATCTTTCATCCAATTTCTAAATTGCTGCACCTGTAAATTCCAAAAGCCAATATAAAGGAATGGTAGTGGTAAAAAAAGCACCTGTGGATTTAACCAAGCCTTTTTGTACAATTCACCTTTAAGGGGGCATGGCAGGAGGTGTGTCCTGTGCCTACTTACTTTTGCTGATGTCCCTCATTCTCATCTCAAAGTTGGGAGGTATGTAGATGTGACCGGGTTTGGAAGATTTTTTTCCACAAGGACTTCACGAGAGGACAGGTCCACAAAGTGTTGGAGGTATGTTCCGGGTGAACAGGCTGAATTGTGATCCATTTATTGCCAGCTTAAGAAAGATTAGTACGCGATACCATCGTAAGCTATGGATCTGTTCATCTTCTCCGTATATCAAATATCTTGCTGATCGACACATCTGGAGCAGGCTTCCAGCATATGTCATAGTGGTGTTTTAAGATGGGCAGTAAAATCTTCATTTGAGGTGAAAGTTAGGTCGACATTTTTTTCATCTTCACAGGTGCCTCTGCTGAACCTCACACACCTTTGGGGCCACCAAACCAGAAGCTTCATCAGGATCACACCTACCCTCATTGTAAATTAAGCTGGCCACACCCATAGATTTCCTTTGTTCAGCTTGCAGGGCTGAATGAAGAAAAATCTAACCCATTTCTCCATCCACACCAAACACCAGCTGCTGGTGATCAGAATATCCTAACAGTGCCTGCATCTGATTGGATCAGCCGAAGTTCGGCCAACAATTTTCCACCTGGCTTTTTTCAATTGAAGGATGTCTGGTGGAGTGGCACTGACGGGGCCGCCCACTGATCGAATTTGGCCAGTTGATTGGGAACCAGTGTGTGACCAGCTTTGGCCTGGTCTACTCCAACCAACCACAGTGACCTTCCATGGGCCTAAAGGTCTTTGTAGTGACAGACATATTCTCTACAAGTCGTATCACTGGTTGCCTAATTCTAAGTAGTAATTCTTGATACCAGTAAACACCACAGCTGGCTTCTTACCTAAAATATACTTATCTCTACTCCGTGCATCTAAAACCCAAAAACAAAAATGTAATATATTGCAGCTAACCAGTCCTTGGATGTGGTGGCTGCATTGACTTCTCAGAATTTTTGTTCCTATTTTTCCCTTGGTGATCCTACCAGAAATACAAATCCTGTCCTAGGGTGGCTACGCTCATTCCTCTAACTATGAAGGCCCAGTTGTTGCCAAAATCTGCTCTCTGGATTCGGACTAAAACTTCATGATCCTTTTATCTCCATTACATGAAGGATGTGTAGCTTTTAGGCCCGGTTCCCACCAATTTGACCCTAAAGTCCTGCTATTTAACTATGCTGTGCACCTTCATTGCGACTTACAGCCACTTCAGTGTGGCGTCAGGTATACATCTCGATGCAAGTTGCAATGAAGTCGTGCAGGAACCTTTTTTGGAGTCGCTGTGACTTCGAACAGGGCCATTGAAAGACACAAGATGTGACTTCAAAGTCTCATTGGTGTTAACCGAGCATTCAACCCCCTGACGGTATTCCCGAGTGTAGCTCGGGGTTAACTTTCAGTACCAGAAGCGGTAACCCCGAGCTACACTCAGGATTACACTGCAACATTGCTCTGGGATCCCTCGAGCACTTACCTTGTCCTGCGGTCCCACAATGTCCCCCCTGCAGCATCCCCGGCCATCTCCTCCGGCCGATGCCGGCATCCGTCTTCAGGGTTCCGTTCCCTGCGAGCGTTGGTACGTACGGGGGGGGCAGAACATTACTGTATCAAACCATTTCACATACATTTTGTCCCGAGTGCTTTGTCCTGTGCCCTGTCTGCATTTTTACTGTTCTTTCTGCCTGGAAACTGAGAAACGTCCATGGCGTCCAAAAGGCGTCCCTTTAGGTCAAAATCGGTTTTAGACTGGCTAGAGAACAGCGATAGTAAATTAGAACCACTTGCCGAGCTGAGTGATAATGATTCGTGGGGGAAATTCGTCATTGGACACTGAAAACGATTTTGCGACTTTGCTCAGTGATGTGCGAACTTGGCGCTATATTTCAAATTTCAGTATTTTTGGTTTGTTTACATTATTGAATTACATTTATTATTATTTTTTTTAATGATTATTATATTATAATTTATGATTTTGTGTTTAAAATTTTATCATACCCGGGATGTTTACTAGACTTGTTCGGACAGATTTCAGTCTGTTATTCCTAAGAATGACAGGCCGACAATAAAAACAACATTTCCATTGAAAACCATGTACCGCACAGAAATAATGACCTAATCGGACCTCTAGGGAGGTTAGGAAGATATCTTGAAAGGGTTCTGAACAAAAGAAAATCCAGTTGTGTGTTCATAACGGCTCACTCACATCATAGCGCATGCATTAGTGAACACCAGGGGTGTAGATAAGTGGGGAATAGGGGGGTCCAACCCAAGGGCGGACTGACAACTCATGGGGCCCCCAGGCAATAGGGGATCATGGGGCCCCTGTGTCCTTGCCCAAACTCAAAAAAGCCTATGAAAAAGGTACCAGGGGCATCTCAT